CTGAGGGTACACTCTGCCCCATCATCCAGGATATAAATAAAGGGAGTTAAACAATACTGGCTGTAGAAGTGAACCCTGTGCTAAAACATTAATGGTTGGCCTCCAGCTGGACTTCATTCTGTTGATCACTTTTTTGAGCCTGTCTGCTCAGCCAGTTTTGGTCATAGAATCATAAAATCACAGAGTGGCCTGGGTTGGAAGGGACCTCAAAAACCACCTAGTTCCAATCCCCCTTCCATAGGCAAGGACACCTTCCACCAGACCATTGTGTCCAGGACCTCATCCAACTTGGGCAACTTGTTCCACTGCCTCACCACCCTCTGAGTGAAGAATTTCCTCCTAATATCTAATAAAAATCTCTCATCTTTTAGCTTAAAATCATTCCCCCTTGTCCTATCATCATCTACGCTACTAAGGAGTCCTTTTCCATCCTTTTTATAAGACCCCATTAAGTATTGAAAGGCTGTGATGAGATCACCCCAGAGCCTTCTCTTCTGAAGGGAGAAGAGCCCTCTCGAGCCCTTTGATAATCTTTGTGTCCCTTCTCTGGACCCGCTCTAACAGGTTAACATCCTTTTTGTGCTGGGGACCCAGATCTGGATGCAAGTGGGGCCTCACAAGGGCTGAATAGAGGGGGACAATCATCTTCCTTGATCTGCTGGCCACTCATCTTTTGATACAGCCCAGGATGCAGTTGGCCTTCTGGGCTACAAGTACACACTGCCGACTCATGTCACTGTTGACTTATGTCATGAGTCTATGCAGACTACTCCCTTCTTGTTCTTCATTTGTTTGGAAACCTTCATTGGTTTCCAGGATAATTAGGTCCATCCTGTTTCCAGGGATTAAGTTGAAGCTGAACAACCTGTAGCTCTCAGGATTCTCCTTCTTGCCTTTCTCAAAGACAATGGAGACATCTGCTTTCTGCAAGTTTGTGGGAATTTCTCTCTATGGCCATGAACTTTCTGAGATAATCAAGAAAACAACGTCAGCCAACTTCTGTGGGCATCCCACAAGTCCAGGGTCCATGGATTCATGCCTGTACAGTTTGTTTGATGTTCTCTGACCTGGTCCTCCTCCACTGGGGGTAAGTCCTGCTTGTTCCAGACTGTCTCCTTCATCTCAAGTGCCTGGAACTCCAAAGGGCAAATCCACCAAAAAAGATGGAGTAGAAGAAGACATTTAGTACCTTATCCTTTTCCATATCTCTTATCAACAGGTACCATGCCCCATTCAGCATCACACACACATTTTCCCTCACCTTCCTTCAGCAGCAAATATACCTGTAAAAATCATTTTTGTTGCCTTTCACAGTCCTTGACAGATTCAACATCAGATGGACTTCAGCTTTCTTAGCTGTTTCCCTGTATGCTTGGTCTATGCCCCTATATGTTCATTTCCACTGCTCTCTCATATAAGGACACTTAGTCATAGTGAAGATTGCATACTGATAGATCAGTGGAGACAGCTTCGTGGAGAAGTTTGTCTTATTTTATCTAATTGAAGGTAGTGATAGAAGTAAATTCCTTTTGTGAAAACATTCATACCCTTTCTTCTTTTATTTATTTATTTTTTTTTTTTTTCACGTATTGAGGCAACACCACAGATGTTCAAAGGTTAGGTTAAGCTCTCCAGTGTTGGAGCCACATACTTTGTCTGCTTGATTCCACTACCATGCAGGGTTCTGTAACAGCCTCAGGAAAGTGTTAGGACCAGTTCCACCTTGCTGCAGAAGAATCCTGTTCACTACCAGTTCATGTATCTTTCTGCTATTACTAGAATATCCTTGGTACTGCGTCCTAAGATCCTATTACTGTGCCTCTTCAAGAGGAATAAAATAAAATACAAAGAGCTAATTCCTTCAATGAAAATTGGGACTGACAAGTTTTCAGCTTCCCTTTATGCTTTCATTCACTCTAACAAAAAAGCCTCATTAGAGTGGGGAAAAAATATTGATTTCTTGTCCAGCTTAATCACTCTAGGCTCAAGGGACCACAGAGAGGATTTGACTATTTTAATTTTAAAAACATAAACAGAAGTGTACAGTTTATCTTTAGATTTAGAAATCTGCTGCACTTGGGTTTCTCCAACGCTAAGACTTCTGTGCTTGTTTTGAAATTTCTCTGCTGTCTGTCCATCTAGTCATGACTATTCACGTAGCATTTCTTTCCTCTGTAGTTCAACAGCATGATTTAGGGAAGCAGAAGCTTTTTTTCTTCCTTGTTTCCTCATCTGCTGTCTTCAGATCTCCCTGACATCACTTTGCATAAATATTCTGTCTTCTAAAATCCAAAAGAAAAAAAAAAATATTAATTGCTCGTATTTTTTCTCTCTTGTTCCTGAAACATTTCCCAATATTCTCACTTGATACAGTATCTTGTAATTTATTTCAGTGCAGAATGCCTAATATTTCATTTATTTTGCTGTCTTGCATAGTTCTCTCATTCTTCCTTTTTCTTTCTCTCCCCTTACTTCCTCCATCCAGGTCTTCCTTTTCTATATAACAAGTTTATGCTTCTAAATGCCCACATTTCTGCCCACACAACTATCCTTCTTTCCCGTAAGTTGTTCTCTGTTCTTCGGGGAGGCTGTTTTCCCACAATTATTCCTGTCTTTGCTGTCGCATTCAGGATAAGATCAGCTTGGATTTAAAGTGGGAAGGGAAAGTCATATGCATTTAAAAGGTTCTGCCCACTGAGACAGGACTTTTTCCTCACCACTTAACTTGTAATGAGAATGACAGTCTCTGTTTTGTTTATTTTATTCATGACAGTCTCTGTTTTATTTGTTTGTTTTCTTTATGTCTTTATTTCTTTCCTAATGCTGCACTTTACCCCACCACCCCAACCCTCCTTGTACTGCTTATTGGTGTACTTCCCCAGTTGCTGTGGTGCAGTAGTTTTTTCCCTTTCTTAAATTAGCTCTCACAGAGGTGCAAACAACATTGCTTATTAGCTAAGCTCTTGGCAGCGGCGGGTCCCTTTGGAACTGGCTGAAACTGGATCTGATCTGACATGGGTAGCTGCTGGGCTCTTCTCACAGAGACCACCCCTGCAGCCCGCTGATATGAAAATCTTGCCACGTAAATGCAGTAGCACAGCATTGCACCCAAATCTCCCCCCAGCTCTTCCAGCAGCTGGAGCCTTGAGGCCAGATAACCACAAAACTCATGCTGAAACTCAAGCAGAAGGAACATACAAAGCTCTTAGCATTACATTAGATCTTCTATTGTGGGAGTAGCTATTGTGACTAAGGGGTATTTTAATGTACTATATAAATTTTCACGTTAACTGCTACTTTTAGAAAGCAGTGTAAATGATGGAGACAAAAGAGCTGTTATGTCTCACAGTTCACAAACATGTAAAGCCAGTAGAGAACCCTCCTACAAATAAAATATGTACTTTTTTTTTTTTTTTTCTCCATAAGCATCTGCACTTTAAAAATGTGTTATTTATATATTAGACCAATAACTGTTTAAACTCCTGACAACATTAGGCTTCTGGTGAAGTGAGTAAAAGTGATGGGTGAGTAAATTTGAAAATATATGCTATTTGAAATTGTAAACTTCTGTGCATGCTATTTTAGTATATGTGTATACTGTTATATCTGATTGGATGGCAGTGTTTTTAGGGACAAGTTTTGATGGCGTTTATCATTTCTTTAACAGACTATAACTGGTCTGAAGAAGCCATTATAGTCAGTTATGGATATCTGAACTTAAGCAGTTATTTAAAAGTGGATTTCTTGATGTGATATATGAAGTCATTACATTCTACAATCTAAATCCTTTGTACTGTCCTTAGTTAACAAACCACTAAAGCAGTCTTCTGCTCTGAGCTAAGGATTTATGTTGTCGTAGGAACTGCTTTTAAAATTGCAGAAGAGAAATATTGCCATGAAGCATCAAATTCTAAATACCAAAATTTAATAATGTGAGCATCGTAACTCCTTTCTGATTAGTAAGGGTCTTAGGTTATTCTTTAACTTTCCCTTAGGAAATAGTTATAATATCATTTTTCAGTTGAGCTTAAAAAAAGGAAAAATAAGTTCATTTTTTGTTGATTTCGCACTGATAAAATGTATATTAATGATAAAATGTATATATTTTTTCTTATATTGAGGAAGAGCTTCTGGTTTATTTTTAATGAATAAAATATGAGGAGTAAATTATCTTTACTGCACAGAATTTTGGAGTACAACCCAAACTTTAAGGATCCACTTAAGGATCGCTAGCACTTGAGTTTAGCAACAGGTACACCTCCTGCTGATGACCTCCAAACTGCCATCATGGTAAATGTCCTTCAGTAAAGACTTCATCTGGTATCTTTAATCCTGCATGATTCTTCTAGATCATAGGCTCCTTGGACATTGATGACTATTTCTGTTTTTAATCTCCTCATGTAACCAAAAGAATACTTTACTGTAGCCTTTTGTATGACTGGGGTGGTGTTTTGTTTGTTTTGTTTTGATGGTTTTATTTTCTCTGGGAATAAATGCTCAGATACCATTGATATTAGCAGTAAAGTGTATATTTTCATTCAGTCACACAGTGCTTTCTCTAAAACAGGACTTTCAGGAACTTTGAAACTAATTATTTGCCATGTACTGGCTATGATATAGTTAAAATTCTCCACAGCAGCCCATACAGTGGTGTGTTTGGGATCTGTGGCTAAAACTGTGTTGATAACACACCAATGACCTCCCAGAAATGTGAGGTGTCAACATACTGCAGCCATTAGAAGCAAACTATGGGAAAGAAGTCCATAGTCAATGCACTTAGACAAAAGTGAAAATATATATTCAAAGAATAATAAGTGTGTGACTTAAGTGCCTTTGATGGTGAATGTCAGATATTAAATATGTCAGATATTGAAATAAACAAGGATCCTCTGCTGTAGAGTTTTCCCCTGGTACAGATTACACGATTCCTCCTTGATATGTCTGTTGTGGAAAATTGAATGACTTACTATTTAATATCAGCTTTTTCTCTTTGTTTTTAGCCCCTTGTGAAGCCAACACATTCTTTTGCCACAGTAATATGTGCATTAATAATACATTGGTCTGCAATGGACTCCAGAATTGTGTATATCCTTGGGATGAAAACCACTGCAAAGGTAATGGGTAGGACTGAAACTGTCAACTCATTAGACTTCATGAGATACATCATATTATTCTTAGTTTCTTGTTAATATCTGTGAGAGGGCTCAGGAGGAGTAATTCAGGGTCAGCATGCATGAAGCAAGAGAGAAAATGGAGAGGGTAAAATACAGATGGATTTTTCTTTCAGTGTTTTCAATCTTTTGCTTAGTGTTGATTTGTGGTGGTTATAGCTTTCTGGCAGGCTTTCTGATCACTTTGTTTCTGTACAAGCTACAATGCAATTAAAAGTAATACTTTAGTTCCTTTGTCGTAGTTACTTTTGTAGTGAAGTAGCATATGCATAACAGGTGTGTTTTAGCTGCATGCCATGTCCATAATAGCTCAGGTGGGCTAAAAATCCCAGATGAAGTAGAACTAACATTGTAAAAAGGCAGCCAAATCCGTATATAATCCTCCAGTGAAAATGAAGTGCAAAGACAACACGCAAAATTAGACATAATGTCTATTTCATAGGTAGGGACTGATGTTCCCTACCAGATGTTGACAATATTCTAAATATTTCTCTGTATTTAAAAAATAAAATGAAATTAAAAATCATCAGTATCTTTGTTGTCTTCAGAGAAAAAAAGCTTAACTAACTTTCATTACAGGCTAGAGAGACAGGGACACAGTTTTTTTTTTTTTTTTTTTTTTTTTTTTTTTTTTTTTTTTTCCTCCTCTATTACAACAGATTTGTTCCTGAAAACATGGGTAATGATGAATTTAGAAACTAATCAAGAAAATATTCAGAATGAAGATTAGAAGTCATCCCATTAGTCTGCTGAAGCCTGTCAAATCTTGACAAGCAATGCAGTAGGGTAAAACATAAATGAAATCATATTTCAAATGAACATAACAAAACTGTGATGTGAAATAATATTCTTCAAATGAACTGAACATGGTAAAGAACTACAGGTTCTCTGTTTCTTTAACACAGAAGAAAACAGAAAACCTTCCCCTCTGTAATTTCCAAAATTATTTTCATATTTTATTTGCTGAGTGTCTTTTTATTGGCTCATGTGCCAATAGAATCACCCTGTCTTGTATTTCAGACTAGAAAAATAGAAAAATGAGGTTTGATAATTACATGAGAAAAAAAAAAAAAAAAAAAAAAGCTATTTGTTGCTGTGTTGTTTTTTCTAAACCAGCTCCTTCTGCAGAGTCTGTGTCAGTCAGAGTAACCCCAAATGAGTCTACAAGAGTAGGCAATAGGGAGTGCTGAAAAGTTCATTGTTGGTACCTAGAAGATTATAAAGAGGTGAATGTTATTTTTTTTTCCTCAAGTCCTTTGGTATGTTTTAGGTTGCCAAGAAAAATTACACTAAACTGAGTGTTAAAACTTAGTCAGACTTGTCAAGTCTTGAGATGCCTGTAAGAGATTGACGTGAATGCTTTCAGCTTGGCTCAGTCACTGTTTTATCTCTCTGAAGCCATCTGAAAGCAAATCACAGAGAAATATGCAGAACAGGAAAGTGAAATTTTGTCTCTGTATTATTTTACTGCATACCTTTTATTTTCCTTCATTCTCAATACTGATTTTGCTGGCCAACTTTCTAGCAGCCTCTGAGTAAAGGATAGTAGGTCTAATCAGCTTTTGGATTACTATGTTTTAAAACGTTCTGGTAATTAATAGGTTGTGAAAAAAATAAATAACTTGCACACTTTTTGTTGTTGTTGTTGTTCTTTCTGAAAACTCCTTTCCTTTCTGAATAACATTTCTATTTTATTCAATTTAGTTTTAGTTTTTCACCGAGTACAGTCAACAGTCCCATTCAGCTCATCAATTGTAGGAGTTCAAAAAAGTTCCCAATTTATTTTTAAAACTTGTAAAGGCTTGATATTTCATTTATCCTAATATTCTAGCAACATATATTTACTAGAGAAGACAGTAAATAATGGAAGAAGCTCCTGCAGAAATCTTAGGGGCTTTAACAGGTGAATAGACTGTGACATGAAATCCGTCCGTTTATTACGGTGGTTGCTTTTTATAAAATAACAACAACAAAAAATACATAAATAAATTTTTCATCTAGTTAAAAGAGCTTGAAAAAAGCACTAACCAAGCCACTTAGTGGAGTCATGTATTGTTCATTTGGTTTTCATGAATACTTGATTTATTTTTTCTTTCCCCACTAAGACTGATGAATTGAACTCAGACATAGACTAGGCATGGCTTTACAGTAATCTGTGAACCCTTCATTGCCATGGTTATTTTTGAACTGCAACTAATTCTGTGCTTTTTTTTCTTATTTATTTATTTTAACACAGAAAAAAGAAAAGCTAACCTATTGGACCAACTTACCAATACCAGTGGGACCATAATTGGGGTGACGTCTTGTATTGTTATCATCCTCATTGTTATCTCTGTGATAGTACAGATCAAGCAGCCTCGTAAAAAATTTGTCCAAAGGAAAACAGACTTTGATCAAACGGTGTTCCAGGAGGTGTTTGAGCCTCCTCATTATGAATTATGCACCCTCAGAGGGACAGGGCCTACAGCTGACCTTGCTGATGTTGCAGATGACTTTGAAAATTATCATAAACTGCGGAGATCATCTTCAAAATGCATTCATGACCATCACTGTGGATCACAAGTGTCTAGCATTAAGGGCAGCCGTAGTAACCTCAGCACAAGAGATGCTTCTGTCTTGACAGAAATACAACCCCAACCTGTAAAACCACTCATTCAGCCCATGAACAGGAGAAATATCCTTGTCATGAAGCATAGCTACTCACAAGATGCTGCAGATGCGTGTGAGATAGATGAAATTGAAGAGGTACCAACCACAAGCCACAGGCTGTCCAGACATGATAAAGCTGTTCAGCGGTCAGTATCAATAGATTTTTGATGAAGACTATTGTGTAAGGACTTGATTGCCCAAACATATTCACTCTTTATTCAGTAAAGACATATTTGCTTTCCTATCTGTTTATTATTTAAATTTCTGTTTCTTGATAGCATATACCATTATATTATCTTTCTTTGTCTCTCTCTCATCCTCTGCTCCAGTTTCCTGGAAGCTTCTGTATCTGTTTTACCCTTCTACGTGATATCTTTCTTTTTCTTTTACTATTTTTTATACTTGCCCACATGCATTCATGCACTGGTCAACAGAGAACAAGTACGTTTTTTAAAAAACCAAAGAAGATTTTGTGCAAGTCTAGTTTTTGATAGAGCCACATGCATGTGGTTTCCTTGAAACTGAGGTGGCCTTGAATATCATCCACTGTTAGTCTAACATTTCAAAATCATTTTGATGTATGACACAATAATGAGAATCACTAACCTGGGGTAAGGAAACCCCTTTTCCCATAAAACATTATCTTTTATACAACAAATGAAAATATTTGCAAAAAGTTAATGTACCTGTTCCATTATTGATCACAGTATGTTTATACATATAAATATATATTAATTACAGTGTGAGACAGAATAGTAAATAGAGAATGATCTTATATTTACATAGAAGAATGTAGTTAAAAGGAATCTTTCTAATCAATGAAATAGTTGAGCATGATATTTTTAATAAAAGAGATATTTCTACTGTATATTACATTCTGAATGACTGTAAATATGAATGATTAAAAGTAAAAGAAAAAGAAAAGAAGAAAGAGATATGAAACATTTATTTGGAAAAGCAAAAAGAAACTTTTTATATATATTTGTGTTTTCTGTTGCATGCATAATTTATGCACTTCTTGTGACTGTTTACATGCTCTCCATATTTTCTTTGCACATTAAGGCACTTCTATCTTTTAAAAACAAGTTATTTGACTATTTTAACCTAACTGCATGCCAATGTAAATTTCTTCATGAATATTGATCAGATTATCAATTTGTGCATTTTATTAAGTATCTATATGCATATATTTCTTTTTTTTCTATGCAAACATTATTATTTTGAATGAAATAGCCATAACATTCCAGGTTCTGCCTCATTGGGTCTCTAAGCAAACATGAGTCTGAGTACAACACAACTAGGGTCTAGGAGACAAACTTGAGGTAAGTAAACATACCTATACAAAAAAATGAACCATCTGTTCCATTCCATTTTATTTGTTATGTTGTTAAAATGTCTGTTAGTCCTCAAGCTATATACCACCTTGTCCTTGCATGGAGAGAGCCATGTTTTAATAATGAGAAGATTGAAAATCAGACAGATGACCACTTCAGCACTGTAAACTATGCAAAATTAAATTCCTATCCTAATTAAATTATTACTATTGACTGTAGAATCAGTTAAATATAATTCCCCAGCCAAATATTATCTGTATTCTCAACATATCATAAAGATAGATGCTTTGCATGGCTCTAGAGTTTTATTCATTTTTAATTTATGAAAATAAAATTTAGAGTTCCAGCATGAGAAACACTAAAATTTGGCAACCTAGCCCAAGCCATGAAGATATAGAACAACTTGTATTCAGTTTGTTTTACTCATTCAACCTTGTGAAGTATATAGGAGTATAGGAAGAGTACATAAGAGAACAGATAAATTTAGAGATTCTGTAGCACTAATGTTAATGTTTGATTTTTTTTTTTTTTGAGTCTTTTCCTAGACTTTTCATTTTGTATAATTTGTTATCAACACTTAATAAACATAATCTCATATTTTATTGAAGTTATAAATAGCTGCTAGTCTGTCAATTTCCTTATATACATATCTAAGCATATATATGTATAGACATGTTTACACATGCATATGTATATAGCAATTTTTTAATGGGAGAGATTCCATTAATGTTTCTGTTGCTTCCAGATAGTTTAGGTAAATATTTGTCTGTATTTCTCTTCACAGGGAGAACATACTTTAACTTTGTTTTGCTTTCAGAGAAACACTATTTATACAATCAAGGGAACTGTGAATGGAAAAATCTATAGTGAACTATTTCAGCTATCAGGAAGACAGAGTGGACATGTTTCAAATTTCATTTCACTGCCTTTATCCAAACTTAAAAATTACAGACATTTCTTACTTCTTTTGAAAGGGATTCCCACTGCACAATAATATGTTTATTTTGTAATTCGCTTGCTGGCCACCAAGTGTTCCTTAGTTTTTAAAAACATTATAAGGTTTACTGCAAACTTGAAGAAATTAACTCCTGACTGAGATGACTGAGACTGTCCCTACTTTTTTTTCTTCTTCTTTTTTTTTATTTTCTTCATTTTATTTTAGTTGATATGTTTTAAGTTTGTTATCTACTTGTTTGTTGTGTGATATGTGGAAGAAGATTACATTGAACTTTTGTTGTATGTACATTGTTTTCATTATATAGACTGCTTGAGAATAGTGCGCTCCTGGGTGATTTTGAACATGCTACAATGAAATGTGAAACTATCGACCTTGGAAACACCAGCTAGAGGTTTTATGGACTCTCTGACCAGCTATTCTCATATCATGACAAAATTCAGCAATGTTGAGTAAAATTACTAGAAGGCAATAAGACTTTCATTATTATACTTATCAGTCATTTCTCTTTTTCTATTTCTCTTTTCTTGTCATTGCAATTTAAATTCCCAATTTCAGGAACAATTTATTGAAATCAGGTATTTAGCCATTCATAATCACTTCAATAGAAATGTTTATTGGATAAGCATCTAGCAATATGACTGAGTTTGACACTGAGAAAATAATTTGCATGTATGTTACTGAATATTTGAGTTGGCAAAAATCCCCTTATTAGACACATTGTAAAAAAGCATGCATTCACAATTGTTGCTGTTACTGTTCCATTTCTGTGTCATATGCTTGCTACTTGTAACTTTTTATATAAAGATACATAAAACAATGTATAATAATTTCTTACCTTGAGTTTAATGTCAATATTTTCTTTTACTAGTATTACAAATTTTGTAGAATTAATAAGTTTAACTGGAAAGTCAGACACATTGGAGAATCAGCTGCCTCTCACCCCTTACTTATTGAGACATTAATTTATTGAGATCTAATTGAATTCATATTACATAAAGATGATTGCTTAATTTCAATGAAAAGTTTTGTGAAAACATTTGGTTTCAATTCTGCACACTGTATTTTTTACATTAATATGTTATCAGGAAGTTTGTTTCAATGCAGCCTAAAAGCTGTTTTTTTACCAGTTATGCAAATATTATGGAAGGACTTCAGTTTTAGAGATGCATATAAACATCAGTTCCTCCTGCAAGATAAAATGCCATTCATAATTCAAGCCATAAACATCAGTAACCAACACTGAAATCAAATACAAAAGGTTAATTTAGTATGAAAATAGTGTAGGCTGAAAAGCCACAGTTATATAAATTTGAAAAACAAATAAATAAACAAAATAATTTTGTTTGATAACTCAATAACCATGCATGAAGTCATAGGACGATTATCTATTTAAACTGTTACCTTGCAAATTCTGTCTCAGAACAAATCCCAATCCTTTCTTAAACATATTGTGTCATTTCTGTTCATTTTAGCTTTTTTTTTTTTTTTTTTTTTTTTTTTTTCCCCCTGGTATTGCTGATAGGTGTTGCTAGTTTTACTGAAAAAGTAGAAATAATATCATGGATATCCCAAAAATATAAAAAGATGGGAGAAGAGAAGCCTTAGAATGCCAGCATAAATATATATATATATATATATATATATATATATATAAAAGTTATCTATATCAGTTTTTATATATAGAGAGAGTACATCCTTTACATAATTACAAATACAGAAAAGCTAATTTCTACAAAACATTTTCTACAAAAGCAATTTAGGAATTCCATAAAAGGAAGGAGGAGTTCAGGTATTTTGTCTCCTTTTTTGTACAGGATACAATAAGTTTTACATAACAGGATTTTACCTTGATTCATTTGTTATAACGCATAATCTGAAAAACAATCCTCCCTCCTTTACAGTCATTGAGAGCCATCTCTCAATTACATGGATATTTTTTTGCATGTGATAATATATTTCCAGATGTATTCCAGAATTCCAGATGAATTTCCAGTACTATATCCAGATGTATGGATCCATTTCCAACTTCATGTAATTTATATTTTTTTTTCCTAAACTTTCCAACGTCTATTTCATGATCATTTCTTAAATATATTATGTTAAGATTTTTTTTTCTCACATTCATGTTTAAAATGGATACAACCATGCATCCATTAAAAAAACAAGGAAGTAGGAAAGACTTGCTGACAACAAATGTATATACATTCGCACACATTTATGTAATTTATAAATATTTGCTGATAAGATAGTGTATAAATAAATATATAAGGAGAAATCTAAATATGTGAATTTAGCTTTGAACTAATTACATTGGTCACCTAGAAAAATGCTAAAGCTGCTAAATTTTAAAGCTGCTAGATATTTAAGTGCCTAAATCTCACTGAAATGTACAGCTAGCCTGGTCTTTACTAATCATGTAGACAAGAAAATCCATTTTATTTTATTTTTATTTTTTTTGCTGTTTGTTTGTTTGTTTGTTTGCTTTTTGTTTTTTAGTACAGTGTTGGCTGAGAGAACTGGAGACGGCATGGGTATTAGTACTTATGTAATACGCACATCCTTGCTTTCTTAAAGAAAAAATAATTGTATCAGGGAAAATAAGAGAAAAACATTAAAACCTAAAATATAGCAGTTCAAACTAAGATGGAACATTTACTTGCTTACTTGCTCTTGGAAACTCCTCAATAAATAAGAGCTAGGTACCCTTACACAAAATTGTCATTATTAATGACAAAATAGGTTTATACTAGGGAAAGAGGGTCAAATTATACAATTAATTTTTAAAGAAATAAACAATTATAAATTCAAGCCAAATTAAAATTATAAAATAGAAAGATTTAATTTTGAGAAATTATATTCTGCATATAGTCAGTGTAAATAATAATCTATTCTATAACAAAATAAAGAAAAATTTTTCTCAGTATCATGCAACAGTAAGATATCTTAATGTAATCTATAAAACGCATAATATTAAAATAAAAGGGATTGTCATTAAAAGTAAAAAGTTCGCCTTTCCTATGAGTATTTTTTATTATCATGAAGCCACTTTTTTAAAAAACAGAAAGCAACTCAAGCAAGTTTTTCAGTTTCAAATAAAGGGGATGCTCACAATTGCAATTTGAACACTCTACAAGGAAATTTTTACTTGTTCTATTATACCTTTTCCATTAATTGGGAAAAAATGGCAAAAAAAAAAAAAAAAAAAGGTTTAGCTTATTGAATTAACACAGTTACATGTATTTTGTATATTAATTTAGTAAATAACTGAATCAGATGAGTTGGGCATGTTAGCTTCATGCATTTTACCTTAGGTCTGTTTTAAGATAAAAGTAACACTAGTAGTTATTAGACTGCTTTGGTTTGATTAGTAGGTGCAATGTGTGTGATGTATAGCCATGTTCACAGTATGTTTATTCCTTACATATTTTTTTAAAGATGAGTTTTTCCACCATGATGCATTGCCATATTGCTCACAGTTTTGCTTTTTTTTTTTTTTTTTTTCTTCCCTAGAGCCATATTTTTATGCATTTACTTTTATTTTTAGATGATAGTCTGAACAACCAGCCTCACCCATTTTTCTCCAATACAGGGAGTAAGGTCTTTCCATTTGTGAAGTCTTCTTTTCAACGTCATTACAAAATCACAGGAATTCCTTTTCCTGTAATTATACCTTTTCATTTTTTACAGATTGAAGAAAAAAAAAGTAAGAAAAGAAAGAAAAAAAAAAAAACCTACATGGATCTGAGAAATGTTAGTACCATATTCTTCTATTTTTCTCCATTTTTCTACTTGATATATTCTCTCAAACCTAGCAAGGTTGTAACCAATGGGAAAGGTTTCCTGCTAGCACCAAAATAAGGCAAAAGCAAAGAAAAGTAGCAGAGAAAGGAATATAATTAGAATAGTAAGAAGGACTTTTTCTCACATCCATTCACAAATTTGTGGACACATTTAGCTACCATGTAAAAAATATCCATGTCCAGCTCCAAGATAACCGCATTACCTCTGCCTTATGGAAACATTATACTGCAGACAAGTTGGTCTTTTATATTTTCTTGTCTTCTGCTTTATGTGGACTCTCCCTGCTATCACACAGAGATATTCTAGTTAAGGGAATATAGACGAAGACTCTTTTGATACAAAGAAGGAAAAGTGCATCATTCAGAACTGTTAAACATGGAAGTTTGTATCTGAACTTGGAGTCTCTTATCTCCTCACTCTTGACTCAACATTTGATATGAAATCCTGGACTCATGGCTCTGCTCCTCTTCCTTATCATTACTTCAACATCATCTCTCTTTACTCTTTGATGATGATTTTATGTCATTCTCACTTTTACATTTCTTTTTTGTCCACAGTGAATTTAGTTTTGTTCCACTCTTTCCATCAAATTAATTGAAAATGCTGAAATCCTATTAGCTCCTTGACCTTATTGTACCCTTTCATTCACCTGGCTCTGTCCCATCTATCACTTCAGAGCCATCTTAACCTTATAATAGTTACCTTTAATTTATATAGCACAACAAAAGCCATAAAGATGTATTGGGAAGGTCTTGAGTAAAGGTTTATTAAGGATACTGGGTTTGTATCTTAATGACTGGGCCTCAGTGTTGTCTGGGCTGCCCACCTCTGGGCTGGCATGCTTGCTCCTGCTATAGCCGTACCTCAATGTGCTGCAAAGAGGAACTCACCTCCACCTATTCCCTTCTCCCAGTGATACCTGCACTACTGTTAAACCAAATTTTGCTTCAGGCACTTCTATGTTTTATCCTATTTCCCTCAACACAACATAAATCACCATCCTAGTTTCTTTTACTTGTCTAATAAAACACATTTTTGCTGCAAAGCCTTACAAACATCAGCCAGTGGTATGGCAGACATAGCAGCAGCAAGGTAAGAACATCATTTACTGGGAGCTGCTGCTTCCCTTTCATTTTCCTTCCCAGGAGAGAATCATGCTGATCTGCAAGCTCTGTGTCACCATAGGAGAAAGGGAAACCCTATACAAACTGCAACTGAGAGTACAGATTATCCAAATGCTCATGATAAAAGATGGAAGCAACAACATTGCTCAGATTTCATTATCAAAGTAACAGGCCTGACCAACACCATGCATAAACATTGCGTCTCTTCATTCTCAGATAATGGAAGACTGCTGTGAAATTCTGCTTTATCCCAGGCAGCAGGACACCACAACTGTGAGTACCGACTCTGTGCAGTGCTCTGGAAAGGACTTAGCAGCTTCTTATACAAGTGTAGGCAGACAAGGATTTAATGGGAGTATAGGAGCATTCCTGTGATGCCACATGCAGCACATAGCTCTGCAATATCTACTTGTTTAATCTTTTTAAGCTTACCTTTCTTCAATCCATCCTCCTCAGCTTCAGTGAGAGACAGTAAACAAAATCAACTTTTTTTTGAAATGGTGGCTTCACTGGAAGGTGGTCATTTGGCATTTAACAGTATTTATATATGAAAGACAACAACAATGTGTGCTGAAGCTATTGTAAAACAAAAATATTTGGAGTTTTTGCACAGATCCTCAATACAGGCTAAATGAACCATTCAGCTGCAACAACTGCATCAGTAAAGGAAGACGCCTTGCATCTGAGATTTTTCTAATAGTACTGCAGGCTCTGATTCATGACCTATTCACATCATCCCTCTTGATCTTACTTTTCTCTCTTCAGTGAAAATTTTAATTAGGAAAAAGCAGTTTGTTGGAAGTGAATAGCTTTCACTGCCTTTAGTGAAGAACAGAATGCAATTTACATTGGGGAAGGAGAGCTTCATTCCATGATTTTTTCCTTAGTGTTAAAGGAGTTCAAAATCAGTGAAGATATAGGTGAGCTGCTCTTTCTCTTTGTTTAACAGATCAGTGATTCAAAGAAAATGTAATGTTTTATGCTTAACTAACCCCTTTAAGGTAGAAAAGTAAATGCCTTTCTAACTTTTTCACTCCCACATTTTACTGGATATTTTGGTATAGAAAATGCATTTGGGGTGGTTTTGTTCGATACTCTAAATGCATCTGGCACCTACTTAGACCAAGGTTGAAGAAATTCCTCCTGCAGACAAAAGTGTAATATTTCTTTACTTTCATGACTGAGGCCCAGAGACTTGTGCCATCATTTGAGAGTAACTTTAGTGCCATAATGGATCTTGTTAACTTTTAGTGTGTTGGTGGAAAATCTTCACCAACCTAGGCAAATACTGAATATTTTGAGATAGCTATTAATAATAAATACTTTTAGAAATAATGCAAGTATAGGATCTCCACTGGTAGTGTCATCATCACTTTGATGACTGAAAAAGAGGAGTGACATTAATTTCAAGAACTTTCAGTTCTTATCAGAAGGGAGCAAAAATGATGTGACATCATAAATGTTTTAATATGTGTGATTTTTCTCCTTAAATTCAGCTAGGATTCTTAGTTTTAGTCCTCCTCTCCCTTTCCTAATATAGACATGTTTATGTCAATTTGGTGACTCAAAATAAAAATTAAAAATCAACAAAACAAAACAAAAACATAAAACTACACTGTGGTACAATGCACAGCTGGTTTTTTTTTTTTTTTTTTTTTTTTTTTTTAAGTGCTATAAGATGTCATTAGAGTTTAGCTGAATCACTTAATGTACTGCTGGAAAATTATTATATCCAAGATGCATAAAAACAGAATTAGAAAACTACTCTGGAAGCTCTGCATGATTTTACTTCTCTCAGTTTTATTATTCAACTGGCTTTGATCAAAAGACAGAAAGCTCAACAAGCATAAACTTTTATAGAAATCTCTACAGGGACATAAACTTCATATAGCATAATGTTTTAAACACACATCTGTTTTGAGTATATGGAGAAAAGAAAGAAAACATTCAGGAACTTTTTTAATGGTTTGAGAAACTGTGTGGTTCTTCTGACTCTCAGAACTAGTCAAACAGAATTTGCATAGGTTCTTGTCTGCATAGTTGGTACACCATGGTTAACAAAATATCTAAATAAGTATAAAATCAATATTTAGGAAGCAAGAGAAGAAAAACATGGTAAAAAAGACTGTTGAGAAGTATGGTGTGTGACTTCAAACCTATTAAATACTACCCTAAAATACTGTAAAACTTGACACCTCCCTTTGTTTTTAGTTTTACTGTAAGCCTTATAGTTTAAAGCTGCTACACACTAAGAATGTAGTATACAATGAACCCACTAACAAAACTCTTTGATTACTGAGGCTCTTGGTCAGCTCCTGAATCAAATCTTGTCACCCAGTCTGTGACAGTGGGCTCACCGCCCTTTGTTGCTGATGACACTAAATTGGCTAATGATACAGATGTGATGTTCTTTGTCTTTGTGACAGACTTTATTGCTGACTTTGGTGGCACTTTCAATTCTAGCTCCAGCTATGATGATAACAACAGAAGTTAGTGGGTAATGGAGAACTTGTTTCAGTTAAGCCTTAACCATACACCCATCCATATCAACTGTATCTGCCTCTATATTTTAGCAGTCAAAGTAGAAATAACTAATTAAATTTAAAACAAATTATTGTTTATTCATATACTATTTATTATTTATTTTAGTTAATTATTATTAAATATTTAAAAATAAATTTTAAATACATTCTATCATCCTGTCTGGGTCTTCTTCAGCATTTTTGAGACATATTCACATCTGAAGTATTTCTTGTTGAATACCATGATTCAAAGGACACTTTGTTTGAGCACAAAACTCTTAAGATATTTTTATTATTTATTATTATTATTTTTTTTTCCTGAGATTTTAAGGCCCTCCAAGCCAATCAGGAACTGCTATACTGTTTGGGGCTGACTTGTTAATGATGAGTATCAGCTGGGTCAAAAGAGAGAAGAATAAACTTTGCTTATGAAGATTGCTAAATTATTTTCTCAATGTGAAGAATGACCTGAATACTTGGATCCTCCATGTGGATCTTCCCAATATTAGGGGAAAAAAGAAACTAAAGTTCCAGACCCCTAGGTTTATGCTATAGTTTCATTTCTTCCACATTAAAACTAGTTATCCTAGTTATCTTCATTTGCAAAATAGAAACAGGAGAAAGCGGAAAGTCAAGTGGCTGCTAAGAAAAAACACTGAAAAATACAGCAGTGGTAAGTAAATCAATTATTGTACACTTATACATACAAATAATGTACAACATGCTGTGAAATGGGACCACTTCTGTTTCTGCTGGAGAATTTGCAAATCATCTAGGTTTATTGGTTTTGGTTTTACACTTGGACAAGACATTGGCTGACAACTTTTTAATTATGTTTATTTCATATAGTTCTAAGAATTATGAAATCTCTACATTCCGAAGTAGTCAGAAAGCTCAGACACTTTCTGCTCTACATATTTTATAAATCTTTATAAAAGAAACAGGATCTATGCTATGGAATTATTGTTGTGCCTTGCAAAACATTGCATAGATATGGCATCTAGCCAGTACTGTAGTCATAATACATTGTCTGATGGAGAAAAATACAATGATCTAAAACAAAGTCACTTACAAGATCCATACAACCTTGAAATGTTTAAGTGAAAAGTCAGTGCAGAGTTATTTTTGAAGAGCTTGAGTTTGTCCTTTTTCATATGCGGATGTCTCAAATGATTAGAGGCATTGTGAAGGATAAAGGGAGAACAAAAACATAATCCAGATTTTTTCTTTCATGATAATAGTATTGCTTATCTCTATATCTGCTGCTTGGGTGATGTGCTGTTAGGAGAAAATTCTGTGCTGATACAGGCTTTTGATAGTTACATATAATGCTAATGCTTATACAAGCCTCCCCTAACCTTGTTATTAAAGGTTTTTAAAATTCATAAGTCCAATAAACATTTTATCAGAATATTACAGCATTTTGTCTTTGCTGTTTTCAACAGAAAAGAAACTCCAGATAAAAAATTTGAAAGAAGCTTGAGTTTGAACAAAGGTCATGAATCTCCCCTTAAATCATGCATGAAGAGGAGTTTAACACAGACTAATTTGTAAAATGTGGTGCATACGCAGACATATGCAATCAGTTTTGTAATATAGCATGCTTTCCATCATTTAGTATGCATACTTCACAGGTACGTGGATACTTCAGAATGAACACAAGGGTTTATGTGTCCCCAGACAGCAGTAAGCAGTCATCAGATTGCTGAAAATGGCAAATGTTCCCAAGTTAATGCTGTAAGTATTTGGACTGATATTACACATAGAAGTTAGACTGAGAAATACAAAGAAAACCTCTCATCCATTTCCAGAACATTTCATGCTTGGCATTCCAAAATGTATTTCATTTCCTATGATAATGAACATAAATTTAACAGATTTATTAGTTCACTTGCTGAAGTTGCTTGTAATGTTTTATTTGGGGAGGTGGGGGGGGAGATGAAGGAGAGAAGAATATGTAGTTAAAATGTCATGATGCTTAGAAAACATCTGCTCTACCAGATCATGACTAAAATATTTTATTTGTATTTTGCTATAATTTGTTATACCTTTCAATTACTCTTAACGAATGTTATAAGCTGCTAGTCAAGGATATGTAATATCTTGAAACTGAATCTTACTTCAAGAAGAACTTCAATGGGTGGAATACCCACCAGGATGAGATGAGGAGAACCAGAGGGAATTATGGGTACAAATGGTTTTCTCTGCAAAAAATTCTACATGTCTGCTGTAATCTTTAATCTCAATGTATGTTTGAAACCAAAGCACTGTAAAGAAAGACCCTCATCTGTAAAAGATGCTCTTGCTGACATCTAAGGGAATATGAGATGCAGATTCAATCTCTCTCTCTGTTAGTCTTCTGTTTTGTTAGCAAGTTGTTGTCTGCATTAGTTTTCACAAGTAGAATTGGTCTCTCCTTAAACTGATCCATGAGGTTTGAACCTTAGTCTCCCACATGAAATAAAATGGTCTATAACCACTGGGCTAAGGATTTATGCTCTTCCCTACTCCTCTACCTTAATTTTCCCTCTTGTTCTAATGAATGGTTGTTTTTAAACAGAAAGAAGAATAACTCTCATAACAGTAATCTGACAAAGAACTATGGAAGAACAGCTAGAGCTGCATTTGCAGGCAATTAGTTTTAGGATAATTCATTACACCTGTTTCTTGAATTGCTTGAATTGACAGATTTGGGTAACAAATCTGAAACCTTCCAGTTAAAGGGGAACTCTGATATTGCATCCATCTTTCCATGTTTCAGTTCTGCTAGTGCATTGAATTTAAATCTCCTGCTTCTGAGTCCTGGAAGAAAATCCCTACAGAAAATTCCCCAACATAATTAGATGGCCTTAGATAGCCTTCTGCCAGATCAGTCTCTCTCACAGATGACCTGGGACAAAGAGGTGGCAGCAACTAGTGGCAACTGGAGGAAGGAGATCCTGAGGTGGTGTTGGGAGAGGGCAAAGGAGGTCTTTCTCTCATCTATTATTATGTCTTTCATCACTAACAGCTAAGTCCTTTTGCATTCAGGAAAGAGGAGTGAAGATTTTTAAATAGCTCCTTCTTTTGTGAATTTAAAGTGAGACTGGTAGAGAGGACTGTAAGCACAGAAGGATGAACCCCTTTTTGTCAACTAATTCTGCATATTTTTCTGAGAATGGTTCAACAGTTGTTGTGTTAAAATAGAATTTCCTTCTCAGGAAGGTGTTTAGACAGTTCAGGTTTCAGTTCAGGGCAGGTTTTAGACACATACATTTCAAATGGAAAACTGAATGTCTAACTCCATTAATTCAATGAATTCATACTCAAAATTACTCTCCTCATAAGTACTTATTTCCTTTGATCCAGGTCAAAATAAACTCAATTACTTGTCTCTTTGACAGATTTCAATAAATCTTTGTTGTTTCTTTCTGCTAGAATAGACATGTGAAGGAAAGAAACTTATTTTATCTGAAGTCATTTATTCATTCAATTAGAACTTCATCTTGGCCCCACTGAACTCACTGGGCTTTTTGCCATGGACATTATTAAGGTTAGAATCAGAATCATAACACACAGTTTCTTATTTGTTGCAGATAACCAATTAAAATATCGAGTATCTCAAAGTGAATGCTTCTTTCTCTTCTACCTCTCCCTTGATATTGTGCTATTGCTTTTTCTGTTCTTCATTAAATTTTAATTAAGAGTTCCTTTGTTTGTAGGTAAAGAAGAGTTATTTTATTTTTAAACTTTTCAGAATATGTTTCAGTTTTGATGGTTTTCTAAAGACAGAAAAACACAATAATGAACATGACTTTTCTAGTGGAGACCTAATCTATCAAATGTGTTTGCCTGAGGATGAATGGGGAAAATAACGGGGATCTGAAAGCAAGCATGCCTTCTCTCTCTTACTCTAATTAAAAAAAAAAATATGCATTTGGTTAATAAAAATCATGTTTATCATCAAGCCTTTCTAGAGGAAATAGAAGCCTATTCTATTTTCTATCATGGAAACAAAATATTACTGATACTCAACTTTATTTCTGAAGTTGCATTCTTATTCATTCATTCTTCTTTGTAAACCTGTGAGATCAATTCTTATGAGTTTACATCATTGTCAACTAAAAATATTGCCTTTTTATGCAATTTGTGGCAGTGTTTGCTGTGGCTGACAGTACAAGTGAAAAGTATGTGATAACAGGGACTACGGATTCAGATAAGAGAGTGAAGGAGGAAATGTGGACCAAGCAATGTTTCTGAAAACATATTCTTATGCTGGTATGATCTGGAATGAAAAAGACAGATATTTACCTGAGTAGTGGAGAGGGGAGAAAAAAAAAAAAAAAAAAAAAAAAAAAAGGAAGTATGTTGTTCACTTTGATTTGTTTTAGTGACTAAACTGTGACCAGTTTGTATTAGCAACTTATTGGGTTGCTGTGTATGTATCAGTACTATTGCATGGCTTATACATTAATTCATGTGCATTGCCCTCATTTCAGGTACATACATGAAAATCATAACTTTGATCTATGCAAAGATTTTACACTACAATTACTGACTTGGGTTTTGTTCAAGGCCAAAAAGATCAGTATTTGTCTCTCTTCTGTGTAAGTGCATACAACATATTGGTACATGAAGATGACAGTTGAAGACTTTGGTAGGCCTCTTGAAAATAATGAAAAATTGCATTTTTACTTTCATTTAATAACTGAAGAGGGAGAGAAGAGAAGAAGGAGAAACAAAAGCCAATCTACTTTTTTGCAAAAGTAACAAGGGACTTCTAATGGCATAAAATGTAGCTTCTTCTGCTTTAAAAACCTGATTTATAAAGTCTAAGGTTTTAGATGTGTTATAGCAAGCCCTACTCCTCATAAGAATGAAACTGTTCATTATTTACAAGGTTTTTCAATGAAAAAACTGCCTGTGAATTAATTCCAGCCTTGTTTATTGATTTCTTTAGGTATCTAAGGAATGTTACAAACTTACCAGAAATTTATATTTCCAATGTACACTGAAAGACGGAACTGCTAATATATATATATATTTAATATACAAATGTCTCTGCCTAATTTTTTGATTTTAAAACAAGCATAAACAATACAATGGATGTCTTCATGACTTGAACTTTTCCTCTGATGAGGTAGTTTAAGCATCCTGTGTGCTTTAAGTTCCTTGCTGTAAGAAGCAGACAAGGAAGAATTTTTTTCAAAGCAGAATTGTGCTGTGAAATCCTCTCTAGCAGTGCTGGACAAATACTTTGTCTATCTGAAAACCAATGGGGGAAGTTTTCTATACATTGTACATCTTGGGCAATTTCTACAATTTGAATTTTGGGTAGTGTCACTACAAGATTCTAAGTGAAGGAATTTAATATTTATATAGTTAAATAAAATGGGGGCTATAAATCAACATATTATTTATAATCTAATAATCCAAGCTATTTAGGTAGTAGCCAACATGCCTCAGGCAAGCAGTTGCTAAAACTTGTTTGAAAAGCCTTGATATCTGATAATCTTACTGATGATAGCCACAGTTATAATCTGAAAAGTCATAAATGGATATTCTCAGATAATTTGAAAGATACATCAAGGCAAATTAACGGCTTTTTTTTTTTTTTTTAAATAGATGTGAAAAAAATCTTTGATCTACATTGGCTACAACAGCATGTAAATTGCTGTTTTTTTTTTTTTGTTTTTTTTTTTTTTTTTTTTTTTTTTTTTTTTTTTTTTTTTTTTCAGCTGATCCAGGTGGTTGGAGGCTTTCACTTTTTCCATTAAATTTTAGACTATGATTTGAATGAAATAGGATTGACTAGACATTACACAAGAATGAAAGGAGGAAAAAAAAAAAAAAAGGGAGCTTGTACTTCATTTGTTCAGTGAACTTTCAATTTGGGTTTGTTTTGTGTTAGTAAGTATTAGATTCTAAGCTGAAGTAGTGAATCTCATCATTCTCACAGAATGCCTGAAGTAAGAAAGGACCTCTGGAGGTCATCACCCATGGCAGGTTGCCCAGGACCATGTCCAAGTAGCTTTAGAAGATCACCAAGGAGGGAGACTCCATAACTTCTCTGGGCAACCTGTGCCAGTGTTCTATTACCGGGAGCTCTAGAGAAAGGCAAATTTTACTTTGCCAAAAAAAATTGCAACATTTGTAAGTTTTACATACCTTTATTTTACAGCAAAATCAGCATAGTTTTTTAATTCAAAAAGAAAGAGAGAAATCCAGAACATCCAATAACATTCATAATTATAATATTCAGGTGTTTTGTTGTCTGACATGATTCATACTATGGATCCAAATATAATTTTTTCCCATACTTCATAAGAGTTCTTGGATTAGCAAGTTTGTGATTACAGTTAAGCAAAATTAATATACTTATCTGGAAAGGTGGTATATTTTGATGAAGAGATTTAAGACCTCATTTTTTTATATCTGAAATTAATTAGTATAAATATTATCAAGAGGTTATTGAGTTGCTTAAAGTTAAACCTAAGTGGTGTCACAGTGTTACAGAAATGGATCTGATACCTGACGTAAAAATGTTTATCTATATTAATGCAAAGGCAAAAAAAATTTTTCAGCTCAAAACTTACTTTAAATTTTTCTATCCCACTAGCTTAGTGGGAGGACCATTATGTCACTTGTTTTATTTTTCCATTCATTGATCACTGAATATGTTGATCTGTTAATAGTAAAGCCTGTTGAATCTACAATAAGTTTACTTTTTTTTTTTTTTTTTTTTTTTTTTTTTTTAAGAGATAAAATATATCTTTAGAAAGATCTTTATTATATAGTGCACAACAGCCTGGATGATATAGATATATATTTGAACTATTGTTGTCAATATGAATAAACAAGGTAAAATAATAAGTATTGCTAATGGCAATTTAATGAAAGACTAACAATAGATAACATGGGGTTCTTGAGTTCATTTGGAATGTCTGATTTGCCCAATGATTTATTAGAAATAAAATTTTAAATAAAAAAAGCACAACATATATTTGTTTCAGATTTTTATTTTATATAAAACTGATCACATATATATATTTGTATCTGATTTATTGACACTGTAATAATTCCATTCATTTACTGTCAAAGCTTATACTAATATAACATTATTTCAAAATTTATATCTGCAAGTTCAAAAAACTTAGAGGTGTTATTACTGTTTGTAATGTTAATAACTTTCTGCCATTTTCATTATGAACTTATTGTGCTTTGTCGTGAAAACTGAGAAAACACTTTGAGAATCTTTGTACCATGCTTTGTCTGTTAGCTTAAAAAGAAATAAAACTAAAACCCTTAAATATTTAACTGCATTATATATAACATTTTAGCTTCTCCTGTATAGCCAGCCATTATGCTGACCTCTCCAAAACCATTGTGTTGCATTTGTTCATTGATCAAATTAGAGCCTACACTATGTTTCTGAAGCATATATGTTCAGGACAACATAGATTTCTTTAGCTTCACTTGGTGTTTTCTCATTAGGATGCCTAAAGATTTCTACTGAACTGGTGGGTTTGTCTATAATTAGGAAATGAAAATGCCCACAGTTTAAGTTTTCTTATCACCAAAAAAAGGCCTCAGCTTCATCTTTCAAATTTCAGTGGACTGCAGTCTAAAGTGAAATTGATGGGACCTTAGGTACTCCAGGCTACTGGACAGTCATCTTATTATTAATGAAGAGACTGGACTTAGGGCATGATCCAGAGCCCATTGTAGTCAATGGGATTCTTTTTCCATTGACTTCAGCGGGGTTTGGATCAGGCCTTTACTTCCTAAAATGAATAGACATCTAGCAAAAGTCTGCTCTAAGCAAGTGGCATCCTTTCCTCAGACCTTAGAAGATCTTGAAGATATATAATAGTTGTGATGTGATTGGCAAAATGGTTATATGTATGGCTCACTGCTCGTATTCAGAATATGAATCAGAATCGCATTCAGAATACTTGATCTAGAAAGCAGAAATTTATGTTCATATAATAAACTTGTAAATTATGAGAAACAATGCAGATACATATCTAAGTATTTCTTAGTTCCCACAGGACAGGGGAGAATTTAAGTTTTAAATTTCCAACACATTAGTATGTGAATACTTGACATACAGATATAAAACTATTAGTAATATCACTAGACACTTGACTTTCTGTCACAAGCATTTTAATAAAAACTACTAGCACAACCAAGAGTTGTATATTTTATGAGAAGTGACCATTTTCAAAATGTCTATATATATGAAAGGAATTTAGATGTTACAAATTGAAGGAAAAACTTTTTAAAGGAAAGATTTCTTTAAAAAAATATCTTAGGGAGATAAAAAGATCCTTTTTTTTTTTTTTTTTTTTTCCTCTGAATAACTTCAAAAATTTTTGCTAAAGTGAAGAGCAAGTAGTAAAACTAAATTCTCCCCTACCTCTTGAACCCATTTATATTCAAATGGAAAAACAAACAAACAAAGAACAAAAAAAATATGTATCAAGTCATGTAAATGTGTGAAATCCTGAATGCCTGGGAGCACAGACTGAGCTAATGAATTCAGGGCTTTTAGCTTCTTATTCTTGACATGTCTGATTAAGACATCTGCAGGACTGTCTCAACATCTGATCTAGTTGCTCAAGATCTCTCTTGTAGATTGTGTGGGCACTTTTGTAGCAGAAATCTTATCATGCTCATGAAGTTATTTAAAGTAGATCTGATGAACTAAGTCCCTAAACCACATCCCCTCTCCACTGATTATGAAAAGCATACATATGACAATTTAAAAATACGTCTGCATTTGAGCACATGATTTGCTTCTGCCTTCTCCAGTTGATATAAAAGGAGATCCTTAAACCTCGTGACAAGGACCAACAAAATTCTTGTACTCAAGGCTAGAGTACTCAAAAGATGTGTAGTTGGACTTCTGGTTTTGGCCTCTGGACTTCCAGGAGTCATTATTGTAACAGTGAGAAGGCTTGGACACTGCCGATCATAATTTCCATAGCTCTATGAGCTATAGAGCTCATAGCTCTATAAAGCAAGTAATTTTCAAAGGCAAGAAGAGGGAGCTTGAAAGATTTCTGCCAGATGTGTCCAGACACTTCTGATACTTTCTCCTTTTTCTCCTTCTGCATAATGGTGCTCATGTCCTTCCATTTCTGCCCAAAAACTTGAAGTAATCACTTTCTGGTACTTTGGAGAAAAGTCAAACAAAATTTGTCTCTTTTTATCAGTGTTTCATCTCCCTCTCCTAGGCATACAGATATGCACAGAGTGAAATAAAATGACTCTGAAACTCTTGTTCCTTCTGGCACCTCTGAAGAGAGTAACCTGTAATTTTTAGCTAGCACAATCTTCAAAAAAACTAATCATTTCTGGTGAACAAATAGTAAAAGGTGGATTCTTGGCACATCTGAGGTGGTTCTCTACGATACTTCCATAAACCATGAATCCTCTGGCTGACTACAATGGGACTTTACAGGAAATGGAGCTGTTTGAAAAATCTGTTTTAGAAAGAGAATAATACAGTGGGATTCCTAAATAATTCTTGTCTTTTCCCATTGGAAATGGAAGGCATTAATTTTATCATTAATTCACAGAAATTTCACAGAAACTTTATAGTCAAATAATGCATCTTAATTAGCATCACTGATATTTTGCCTGCTAATGTGTTCTCTTATAAAAAGTGTTTCATACGAGGTGACTCTTGTGATAGTTCCTATTTCTCTTGATTGATGTGAGCCTAATTGACCCCGTTTGTGCTGTTAACAGTGTTTTATAGGTCAACAAGACTCTCTGAACACTGGAAAATTGCACCATTGTGTTTTGCAAAGTTATATCCTGTGTGGGCAGACTGGCATTACTGTAGATTATGACACAACCAAACTGCAAATCTGTATATATAAATTGTAAATATATTCCTGAGGTTCACATTGGGTTACTAGATATTTGAAAGTTGCTCTTATATTATAGTTTTCTAATAAAAATTGCACTTGTTCTTTTATTTTATATAGTCTCTTTGTTAAACAGACTTTGTTAAACACTTTGGTTTATCATTTTCTTATGGCTAGTTCTTAGACTTCAAGCAAGAACACAAATTATGTCTATTATTATTATGCCTGACATAAGAAATCTCTTTTCCTATCTTGCAATGTTGGTGGTATGCCAAGCTATATTCTTAAAACAACAACAAAACAAAACAAAATAAAATAACAATGACAAAAACCCCACAACCTAGGATCACATTGCTGAAAAGTTTTGGAATATTATTCTTTTATGTTATGTAAGTTACTTTTGTCATCTATATTATTGAATTTTAGTTCAGTAAAGCTGAGTTAAAATATGAAAGCTACAGGCTAGAAACCTTTCATCAATATTGGCAAGAAAAGTTACTCAGAGAAACCACTTGTACAAGTAAGAATAGGGATTTGAAGGACTATCTGTGTGAGTGATGTTATAAAAGAAGAACCACATTTAATATTATGGATAATGACACATCTTCAGCTTGAAAAAGTTTACATATTTTTCTACAAAATGTGATAATTTAAAAATTATAAGGAATTATAAGTAAACCTCCCTTTTTGATGTCTACCTAAAATAAAACACTTTCCCTTTCCTCTTCCATTTTTCTTCCTATTTCCCCTTCCTATTCCCCATTTTTCTTC